TGCCATCATGCCGGACTCTTCCCCTTAGTACCAGAAGTACCTAAAACCAAAAACACAAATTGTAAGCAAACGTTTAGTAAGTTTCCCCCAAAGTACCACATACCAACATACAAATTAATGCTATGGGCCAAATCATAGTCTTACATATAATTCTTGTCGAGGGCCAAATCCCGGTCTTCCATACAATTGCCAGGGGCCAAATCCCGGTCTTTCATGCAACTACCAGAGGCCAGATCTTGGTCTTTTAATGCAGGTGCCAGGGGCTACATCCTGGTATTTCATATAAATGTCAGGGGCCAAACCCGGGTCTTTCATACACATATCATACAAATAATCTGAATCAAATAACATAAATAATGAGCCGGCCTTGGTGCCTTTGACCCATTGATACAGTGAGAAAACTCACCTCAGTCTATTGGAAACAACAAAATGCTTGGCTGCTGAACAGGAAAGTCCCACACGATCACAAACAAAAGGCCCTAATCAGAATTAGTTCATAAGCCCAAATCATGGTCCTAAACCCTAAGTCCAAACTCCTAAGATAAGGGCCCATTTGTCTTTCCCAAAATGGGCCTAACCATTCTTGGCCCAAACGAAATAATGGGCTCCAAGGCCCAAAAGGCCCAACTACACCACTTAAGGCCCATTGGCAGAATTCAAAGGCCCACCTACTCTAAACAGGTCAAAGCCCAAAACCAACTAAGACCCAATGATCCAAGAGCCTAACAAAAGTCCGAAATACCAACAAAAGTCTGAAAACCCATTGGGGGCGTACGCGCGGCGTAATTTCAGCACGCCCAGCATACTCAACTGACATGCAGTAAGCGTTGTATACACCCTGGTACGCTCAGCGTACTGAGCTACTCAGCACCTTAAGTCATTTGGTGCTTAATCCATACAACCACTTAATCTAACTTCCAGATCTCGGTCATAAAAGGGGTCCTAGGGCATAAAGTTGGAAAATTTATGCCTTCGAATGTCTTGTCGGAGTCCAACATCCATTTGTGTTCATCAAAGCTCAAATAAAGGAACTAGATTCATGCATGGTTTCATAACAACCACCAAGATAACATTTTAATGCTTCTAACACATCATAGGGACCAAGATCTAGCATTTCTAGCTTCTAGAGTTGCCCAAACTCCCAAAAGAGAATCCATGGACCCAAAATGAGCTTATAAACAACCCTAACTCTAACTATCAAAAGGATCAACAAGGTATGAGCTTTTTACCTTCAAAAGCTTCCTAAGATGATGTAGATTCAGGATGTTGAAGCTCAACCACGTCGAAAGCTTTATCACCAAGTTCTTCTTCCTGCAAACACACCAAAAAGGCCACTAAAGTTACTTTCAAGCTCAAATATCACTCTCAAAGGCAAACTAGGGTTTTATGGACGTTAATAGCAGTGGAGGCTGATAAGGGTGAGGGTCCAAAGGTCATAAATGTGTTTAAAAAGGACTCATGCCCTAAAATTAAGGTTTAAAATTTGGCTACGTACGCCCCGCATATGCTTCGTACGCCCCACGTACGTGGCTCAGGTTCCCGATCCATCATGCCCATGTACGCTAAGCGTACATAGATATACGCCCAACATACGAGGGGACCTCTTTCGAAAATATAATTTTGTTTCCAGGACCAAAAAGGAAAATACATGGATTCGAGTGTTATATTTCCTTCGTATTCACAACTTAGTACAAACATTTATAGTTTAATATAACCATTTTAAAGCATTCAAAACTTAATACACACAATCACAGTTATGCAACCACATTAGTTGTCATTTCTACCTCAGGAGACAACTATAAGGGAAGAAAGAGGTGGTGGTAGTTGGTTGCGGTGTTGCTAGAGTATTAAGTTGAGTACTAGGATGTTCATGACAATATGAGTGGAAAAATTAATTACATGTACTTTTTATTAAAGTAGTTAGTGTGTTGATGTCAAGGACGTAACGTTTTCAAAATGATCAAAATGTATAATATTAATATAATGTTTGTAATATAACGTTTTTATTTATCATTATTATTATGAAGTTTTTTTATTTAAAAAATAATTTATTTCATTAGAAAACTTTTAAAAATGATTAATTACTAGAAATAATTTAAATTAATAACATTTTGTTTAACAAAATTTATAAAAAAAGAAGATGGCTAAAAAAATCTATATGTGAAGAGGATGATTTGGAATTTTTTTTTTTCTAACATATGCCTTAAGGTTACATGTAAAAAACATTAATTATGAGAAATTTTATCATAATTAAATGTGAAATGCATTAATTATAAGAAATATTCTTCATAATTAATGTATTTCACATTTTTTAAATATAAATATTTTGTATGATTAATGCATTTTATATTTAACTATAGTAATATTCCACATAATTAATACATCTTATATTTTCCAAAACAACACATTAGAACATTCGTTTTTTTCAATTTTAGGAAACCTGATTTTGACTCATGACTTTATTTTTTGATTTTTTTTCCTCGATTTTTCTTCTTCAGCTTGCATACGATCATTTTTGTTTTGTGAATTTGTTTTAGGGTTAATGACCTAAAAAGGTAACGAACTTTTGTCGTTGTCCACATTTAGGTAACCATGTTTTTTTCGTACACGTTTGACCATTAAACTAGTTTGACCTATTCAAAATAGGATAATATGATTGTAAATTACCGGTGATATTACCATATCATAAACATGTCAAATACGTTTATTGGTCAAAAGTGTATGAAAAAAACATGGTTACATAAATGTGAACAAAAAGAAAAGTTCATTACCCGTATTGGGCCAATTCCATGTCACATTAGTGACTCTTATGACTATTTACACTTTGCATGAAAAAACTCAATATTATAAAAATATGTAAATAATTTTGGTTTTTTTCATATTAAGGTAACCATGTTTTTTTCTTACATATTTGACCTGTAAACTAGTTTGACATGTGTGATTCTTATTCATTATTTTGTTTTCCAATTGACAAATTTTATATGTGTCGTATTATTATATTGTTGTCTTTTCTTATGATTTTTATGGACATTTATTTTATTTAAATGGGCGTAGATTTAAGACTCTACTTTGTTGTCATATTAGAGTTATCTACTATGATCTACATATTCTAGAATTTCTATCGTTATTATGTCACTATTATTTATCTATCATCGGTCATTTTTTGGGACTTTATAGTGAAAACAATTTGGTCTTGTTTACCATGATAATACATATGATCTGTATTTATCTTCTCTACGTGTTAAACTATTGACATGGATTAACGCTTCTTAAGAAACATTAAGTATTGATTCATATCTTCCAAAACCAAATATTCTATTTGCCTTACATTTTACACATTTGACTAGATACACTTGATTTGAATTTGTTTAGAAGAGATCTTATAGCTGCTTTACATCTCACAAGTCAGACGTGACAACATAAACTTTTAATTTTTCAGACACGATGTTGTTTTCTAATTTACAACTTACAAATGAGATGAGAAATCTCACAAGTGAGACGTGACAACATAAACTAGCTGAGCTGATTTAATCTTTCAGACAAGATGTTGTATCTGATTTACAACTTACACATGAGATGAGACAGTATAAACCAACCGATTTATATCTTTCAGACGAAATGATATACCTGATTTACAGCTCACAAATAAAATAACACGGTATAAGCCAACTCAATTCACGTATTAGCAAAAAAATAATTTTCTTCTTTTTCTTACAACCCAATCTTTTATAACGATAGAGTAAATTACACGAATGGTCCCTACGGTTTAGGGTAATTTGCGCGTTTGGTCCCTAACTTATTTTTTTAACTCGGAAGGTCCCTACTGTTTGTTTTTATTACGCATTTGATCCCTGTCTTACCTAAAAAGACTATTTTGTCCTTAGTTTTTTAATTTATTTAAATACACACAGTCTCAACCCCACCCCCTCACCTTACTTTACCTACCCCACAAATTTTCCCTATTTAAATAATAGTTTTTTTAGGTAAGACAGATACCAAACGCGTAACAAAAACAAACAGTAGGGACCAAACGTCTAACAAAAACAAATAGTAGAGACCTTCCGAGTTAAAAAAGTAAGTTAGGGACCAAACGCGCAAATTACCCAAACAATAAGGACTTGTAATTTACTCATAATGATATAATTCAAACAAATAATTCCTTTTCACCAAATCTATGCAACAAAAATAATTATAATACCATTAAATTGTCGATTGTCACTTTTTAGTCTACTCATCATCATTTGAATCATCACTCACCGCTAATTGCTAAACTGGAGCAAGACACGATCACTGTGGGCCCTTTAAAACGAATTATTTTCACTTCATGTGCTTTTTTCGTTGCAAATTTATTTTTTATTATTTTTACCACAATATTCGTGGAATAGATTTAAAAGCAACAATTTCTTTTTTTCTAAAACTCATCCAACTTATGTCAATTTCAGTCTCAAAATGAGTATATCGTGTTTTGTTGAAATTGTTTATGCATAATAAAAAAAGAAAAAGTATTTGTATCGATTAAAAATTTAATTCTATCTTTTATAGGAGACAAATTGAATCAATATTCAATAATGTAATTACGTTGTCCAATAAATACTTTTTTTTTTCGTTTAGGTATATGTGTAGATTAGATCACGATTCACGCATATGTATATGCAACACACACTTATCAAAATTTGTTGTATAAAAATTCAATTTCGTGAATCAAAATCGAAACAAAAAGTACATCAAACTGAAGGGTTGAATCCAAAATTCCTAATTGCTTGTAAATTGTAATCCAAAAATTTGCATGAAGTATGTAATTAAATACGCAAAACTCCTAAATTTTTTAGTTTTAGATTCTAAATCGATTCACATAAACACAGATTCACAGAATTAAACTTGCTCAAATCACAGAATTAATCTTGCTCAAATCAATTCACACACACACACACACATACTGATTTTTCTGTACAAAATCCGATCTCGGAAACTCTTACGTGCATTATAATCGGAATATCGAATCACCTGTGAGCAATTGAGCATCGACGTCCGTGCTGATCGTAATACTCACACCGATGAATTCCTTCATCGAAATTCTGCGAGTAGCTAACAGCGTCGTACCGGAATGTCAAAGGTTTTGGGGATCCATAGATGCTCTTCTTGCTTTCTCGAATCACTGTGTTGATCAGCTTTCTCCACTTCCGACGCCATCGATCACAGCCATTGATGTGTTTGCCGTCGTTGATGAGTGTGTACTGCTTATGAGATGGAACGCACGACGGCGAGATACAGCCGGAAAAGTAAGATGATGATGATGATGACGATCTCCGGTGAGGAGTGTTGCCCATTTTTTAAGGAGAGAGAGGTTCTTTCTGTTGAGATTCTGAGAGAAAGTTTGATGAATGAGGAAGATTTTAATCATTTTATTGTTTAGTCCGTGGGTATGGGGGGATTTTGGTAATTTTAGGGCTGTCAATTATATCTTTGCCAAACGAACACTTGAGTTGCTTAAATCATGATGTGTTATAGGACGTCCTATGTTATAATTTTAGGGTATTGTACATACAAAGTTATTATATTTTAGTTATTTTTATTATTTTAATAGTTGTGAATTTAAATGTGTAGTAACTAAAAATTGAAATTAATAGATTTATATTTTAGTTATTGTTATCAAATTGAATAATTTTAGTGGAATGATACAAAAGTAAATTTTAAGAATTGACTTTTTATTACCATAAAACAAATGGATGAGTCCATTGCGTCAATCTTATTTTTGTCATCTAGGATCACATTCACTTTTTTTAATCAATTTATTTTCATTTTTCTCATAGTAATCATTTTTCTCCAACCATTCTAACCCATATGTTTTATAAAGAAAATATTAAAATATCTATTAAGTTAAAGTTACATAAATAAAACCAAAATTAAAAATGAAATTGAATTACAAAACACACTACTACACATGGAAATTTAAAAAGCCATAATCAAAATTATAAAATGATACTTAAAAGAAATTATTAGAGAAGATATATAGTTACGTTCAATGTGATCGTCCAGATCCTATTGAAATTAGTGGTGAGTTTTTTAGTGGTGCAATTTAATAATCATATTTCATTAATTTTTTTAGCATGTAATTGACATATAACAAGGTCTTCATCTTTCAGTATCATTTTATGTAATTAAGGCAACAATACATCATATTTTACTTATGTATTGATTAGTTGAACATGCAGCGAGTCTTATTATGCCCTTAACATGTTTTTAGTATGCCAAAAGCTTGTTCCATGTCTTTTTCTTGTTGCTTCTTATTTGTATTGAAGTGTTTTCTTCCTAGTTGTCTATGCAAATAATTTCATAAAAGTTGTCCACCTTAGGTATATCCCATCCGCAAAATAGTATTCATACTTGTATTCTTCTTTGTTCAAATGAAATGAACATTTTAGTGTTTTTCTAAGCAGCTTCTCGTTGAATACTAGTGATTGGTAGAGCACTGTAACATCCAGAATCCTATGTATAATTTAGTATAAGTTCATTATGATTTTTTTAAGGATTTTGTTGGCCACGGAGTGGAAAGGTGTCCCCACGACGTGGGATAGCCAAGAAGGTTCGCGGAGCATTTTTGTTCCCCACGACGTGGCAGGTATGGGGCCACGACGTGGCGACCATCTGATGGCAAAAACCCTAAATTTAGGGCCTTGAGCCCTATTTAAAGGAAAGTGAGGGCAAGGTTTGGTCACCATCAGCCTCCATCACTCTCAAACCCCTGAAACCCTAACCATAATCCCCTTTGGTGATTCTTGGCTCATTTTAGTGCTTTTGATAGCTTGAAGAATAAGAAGGTTTCCTAGTGTGCTGGTTCAACAAACAAACATCAAGCTTCTAGATCTAGGTTTCTTGTCCCATTTTTTAATCAATATCCTCAACCCAAACTTAGGAAGCTTTATAAGATTGCCTCGATTCTACCATGCATCAACAGTTTCACGCATCAAGAGTGAGTTCAGGACCCCATTTTACAGTTTTCAAACCTTTTACAGGCAGAATACATGTTATATCAAACAAAATTTTCATAATTATTACTAACTATATAGAATTAGTTATATAATTATGTTTAGGACATTAGGATAATATTATGCATGATAGATACTGCCAAAATTTTATGGATAATATTATGCCTAGATGTTACGTTGACTCAAACACTCAGAACTTACGCATACCCAGTCGTTATACTGGTAAAAACTCTCTAGGAAAACATTATCCCTAGTCGTTACTCTGACCAACTCTTTAGGAAAACATTTTACCGAATCATTACTTTGGCCAACTCTCTAGGAAAATAGTTTACCTAGTCGTTACTCTGGCCAACTCTTTAAGAAGAGATTGTACCTAGTCGTTACTCTTCCTAAATCATAGAAATAATATCATTTCTTATTGTCACTACGCTGGACCCAAACGGATAATAGTAGTATATTATGTCGTCATTGCGCTCAAATCAAATAGATAATAGTGGTATATTATGTCATCACTATGCTCAACTCAAACATATAATAGTAGTATATTATGTCGTCACTACGCTCGATTCAAACGAATAATAATGGTATATTATGTCGTCACTACGCTCAACTCAAACGGATAAAAGTGGTATATTATGTTGTCGCTACGCTCGATCCAAAGGATAATAATAATATATTATGTCGTCACTATGCTTAATCCAAACGAATAATAGTAGTACATTATGTCGTCGCTACACTTAATCCAAACAGATAATAGTGTTATATTATGCTGTCACTCAACTCTAATAATGGCTATTACACTACTCCTCCAGTTTGGCTCTAATAGGAATATCTACCTAAATATAATTATATATTAATTATAATTATACAATAAAGAATTGGGATTCTAATTACGTCATAAGAAAACTGTCAAGTAGGTTAAGGTTGGATGGTATACGATTAACCTATGTTGAGTATGAAAGTTTACTCTTAGTCGGTTTCCTCTATAGATAAGAGTACCCTCCTCCCATAAGTATGCACTTAAGACCAAGGATACACTAATAGTACATAGGATTAATGAGAATCACCGAAGCCATAGCACCTATGAATAGTAAAATAATATTTTCAAAGCAAAGAATCAAAATACTTATACAACTTAACGAAGTTACATAAAAAGGTATTTTCAAAGTATAATAATCAAACATGTGAACTCACCAACATTATGTTGATGTTTTCAAAACCAGACGTATTCCTAGGAAATCAAGAGATGGAAGAAACCTAGATCTAGAAGCTTAGAATAAAAATCTTGGATATGGAACACTTACAGGAGTCCAAAAGAATGCACAAAAGGATGATGATGATGTTATCGTTATAGTTCTGCATAAGTATAACTCTCAAAAGTTATGCCTAACTATCATCATTATAGTTATGCCTAACTGTCAAGACACCTTTTATATTAGAATTTCTAGTATTTTAGAAATACATTCCGATGTAATATTTTTATCAATAAAGGAAGTGATATGTATGTTTTATATTGGTTTGTACTATTCAATGTATGTTCAATATATGTGATCTAACATTCTAACGTCACATAGTTCAAAGTGTCTGCCGCCGACTGAGGGTGTGACATTCTCAGAACCAACTCACTTACATAATTCTACTTTATTCGGACTTGATCTTTTATGGTCATTTGGGCCTTAATTTAGAGTCACTCTCCTAGACATCACCGTATAACAGATAATAACGGAAATAACTCAATACGAATTTATAGTGTTAGCCACACTATCCACCTAACTACCAGTTCCTTAACAACTTTATGAATTCTCCTGATCCAAGTTTGAGTCCCATGCTTCGGGTAGTATAGGCCTCTACTACATTTCAGACCTACTTATACTTGTCTCAAAAATTGTCTTGCAGTTTCCAAGTCACTTCCAATACTATACTCGATGAACGCTAAAAATATATATGTATGTGCCCCATGGGCACATACAACAGGTTTTTTCCTAAACTCCACTAGGACTTTGCATCTTTACTGATGCCCTAGCTTACGAATATATACCCTATCAAGCATATATTAAACTTCCTAGATTCTCCTTCCTTTTCCACTCCACCCTACTATGTCACACCCCCGAACCAGGACGGCAGAAACGTCCGGGGGCGGATGATGTTATTGTAAAGTATCATCACAATTGAATATAAATGGACATAGCAACCCAGGAAACATACATTAAGAGATACCAACATACATTTTTTACATATTTTATTTGTTCATGAATTACACAAAAGTGACATAAAAGTAAGTAATTCCAAAATGCAGCAAATCCGAATCTTAGGTACCTGCTTACTGGTTCCCAGAGAATACAAGTCATTTTTGAAAATCGTCAACATTGAATGTTGGTGAGTTCAAAAGCATATTTGTATGCAAAGATTTGTAACATACTTGATTAAAATGGTTGGTGTTTCTCCAGAAAGTCTGATATTTTCTATGACAATGATTTGTAAGCCTCGTTTCCAAAATTGTGAATATATGCATGCATGTCCTTGGTTTTCTTTTGTTTGTAATTGTAAGTGCATGTTCCCAAAAAATCTAATATTTTCAGTTGTATGAAAAATGTGGTCTTAAACCCTAGACCAGTAGTGAAAAACAATAGTATACGGGAGGAAAAATGCAGTTTTAATTTTTATAAAACTGGTGAAGTGTAAGCTTCCCGTAAATCAAAATAGTGTTGTTAATCCCTAATTGAGTCATTATAACCATGCTTGATGTGACTGTTATGCCTTTTGCGACGTTCTTCAGGCGTCAGAATCGATAAGATATTTGTCACCCTAGACTGGCCTTTTCTAGCTGTAGCGAATAGCTCAGGTGTGGGGTTGTCAATCACCGTATAGATCTATACACAACTATCTCACTCTCCCTCCAGGAGACTTTGGTTATAATGCAGGATATAGAATGTACACTAGGTAGGTACGGTGAAGATAGTGTCTCACTAGAGCCTTAACGGATTTACGCGAACTTTGACTCCCATTATTGAATGATGAAAATGACATTACTAGTGTGAATTTATGACTGAAGTTTTATGACATGCGATTCACAGGCTTCATGACTCGCTGTTTATGACACGCGTTTTACAGATTTCATGACATGCAGTTTATTACTCCTGCTTTATGAGCTTTATGATAGGCAAATTATGACACGCTAATTTTTCTGTCATAAATTCTATTTTGTATACCATGTTGGTTAAATTATTTATAATACTTTTTACAAATAATCGTTAGTGAACATGTCTAATTGTAACATATGTTGTGAAAATAGCATAATATCTTAGGTTTTAAGCCATCAAAATAGTGACAACATAGTTACG